CACTATTTCAAGTTCTCAGTAATAGATATAAAGATTATAATATTATTTTTGGGAGCAATAGTAATAGCCGTTGATGAATTAATTTATTTTGTCAAACATTATAAAAGTATAAATTTCTAAAAAAAAAATTGTTCACGTTAATTCTATGATATCATATGCATATAATTAATGATCTTATACCTAAAATATGCGAATTTGTACAAAAAATCACGAAATATTCAAAATTATGCAACAAACATTTTTGTATTTGTAATATACTTACTATGAATCAAATTTGTATCGAATCAGATTTTCAATATGCACTTTCTAAACAAATTGAAATATGCAAATGCTTAAAGTTCCGAGCCTTGGTAAGACTAATAACATACTTACATACCTATACTTTCATATTATGTTTGAATAAACTTAATATTAAATATGTATATCATTTCTAAACGCTGCAAAATGACAACATTGATTTCAAAAACTTGTATGATTAAACCTCGCGTTCAACATAATGTTGAATGATGCATATAAAATCAAACAGATTTTGAAAGATCATCACCTTTTCACAACATTAAGATATGATCAATCTAATATTAAATTATAATAACTAGGGCTTGGATGTTGTTACATTCATTTTATTAAAATTAATAATTAATTTACTAAAGACTAAAGGTTATGGCTAGACTTAGAGACTTAAAAGCTTTAAACACAAACATATACGCATAAAAATATGAGCAAATATGTATACTCTAGAAGTCTAGAACAAGACAATTTTGACTGAATTTATTAAAAATGTATTTAATTATTATTAATGTATTATCAATTTTTCCTTTTTTTTTTAAATAATTGTACCTATTGCTCCAATGGCTTAAGCAAAAAAAAAAAACGATAGGCCCATAGGAGGGTTTAACATCTGTAGCATGGATCATCACATGGAAGTCACACAATATTTACACAACTTTGGTAAAATATGTATATCACATTTGTGTAAGCAATTTAATTTTTAAACTAAATTTTTATGAATTTTTTTTTTGCTCTAATAAGTAGAAACCTTATATCCTTATTAATTAATTATAACAACATCAAAGTCCTAATCATGACATCAAACATAATTATCAAGTATTTTAAATATGTCAATTGCACCAGTAAAAATTATCGTAATATATTCTGAGTGGTTAATAAGGTTAGGTTTTACTGGTTTTAGACCGGGATTGAATATTTTTTTAGAAGCATTTTCATTCTGGATTTAGGGCAATTTTAAAACTTTTAACTTAATTTTAATAAATAAATATAGATTTGAAATGTGTACAATTTTCATAAGAAAGGATATAAAGACTAATAATTGTTGAACCATTTAGTACATTTTAGTATATTCAAATTAGCAAGGAATATGCAAGATATGCATGGTAAAATACATTTTAAAGCAAATTCATTATTTCTGAAAGACTATCCATTTTAAAACTTAATTTAGTATTAATAAATGTGAATACATTTGAACTGTGTACAATTTTGATATGTAAGGATCAATATTCACTAATAAAATGATACATTATTGTTGTTATTTAGTAAATTTTATTATACTACAATGATTGAGCTATTAAGTTATGTATGATAAACTAAATTTGAAAGCAAATTCATTATTCGTTAATATCCAATATAGGTAGGTATCTATAGAAATATAGAATTTATGAAAGTCAGCAGTTTAATAAATGCCTAATAAAAACATACTTCACAATTTAAACTTAGTGAACATTGTTCGTACAAGAGGTGCAATCGAATAATAAATTATATGTATATTTACTATTTACTATTTTGCTATACTATTTATTACATTATTAAATGAGATTAATGTTTAAACAAATTACTTTAAAAAGTATTCATATGCTCAAATTGGTTAAAAATAGTTGGTTTTGTGCAAATAACCTTGTAAAATATAACTACAGTCCTTTAAAAAGTTGTTAAAAAGTTATATCATTATAGGTACCGACAATTTGTTTAAAACACTCGCATACTTTTATTTTCAACAAGTGTATACTCTCAATACAATATAATTATGACTGCCATTTAGGTTTAAATGAGTTCAATCGTCTTCTAAAGGTATTGGTATACACTATTAATTAATGTGACCAATGTTTATCAACAAGTGTATACTCTCAATACAATATAATTATGACTGCCATTTTACTTGCAGAATTTTGGTCCACGCCAGAGGTTCAATCGTCTTCTAAAGGTATTGGTATACACTATTAATTGATGCGACCAATGTTTAAACAAATTAGTAGAAAATAACCATTAAGCTTGTATGAATAACCTTGTAAAATATTACTACATTAAAGTTTTAAAGTCAAAAAGTTATACATTTTATAATTTTATTAACACAAACCAACAAAAACCCATACATGCAAATATTTATTAAGTAAATTATTGAATTCTATGAAATTAGGTATTACTCATAAGTCATGAATCAGGAATTAAAGTAAAATAATGTTAAATACATTAGCAAAATAGCAAATCTAGATATAAGTATCTAAAATATTCTGATTTGTTCCACTTTTCATTATGATATCATTATGGAGAATATGATTTAATAAAAACAATGATGTCACATTAGAAAACTTAGGAAATTAAGAATATACTTAGATTTGTGATGAAAAAGCTAATTTGAAATTTGAAATCCTAGATATGTATAAATGAACAATGACTTTTAGATAAAGATATTTAGGTGCTGAAATAATTTGAATTGTTCCATTAAAGTAAAAATATATCATCAGACACAACAACGGCACAATATGAATAATATTATTTAGTAAAAAATATGTTGTCATGTTTGAAATCTTAGGAACCATGACTTTTAGAGAAATTAAATGTTGCTTTTTCATAATAATTTACCATACATAGAATTGCAATGAAAAAGCTAATTTGAAATTTGAAATCCTAGATAGGTACAATAATGAATAATGACTTTTAGATAAATTGAAGAAAAATTTTATTGAGAATAATGACGACTATGAAATTTAAAAATGTCTTATTCAAAATGGTTCAACTTGTCTACATTTCAAGAATTTAAAAAATGTTTTAATTCTTAAAAAAGTAAACATTTTTCTTAAACTGTTTGAAGAAAATGGATCATATCCAATAAAACAGTTTTAATTTAAATCAATGGGCTAAATAAAAATTAAGTTAAGTCATGAGTCAGGAATTGAAGTAAAATAATATTAAATACATTAGTATTATATAGTTATTTTGGTGCTGAAATATACTGAATTGTGCCACTTAAATACTTAATATAACACTGTATATGGTATAATGTATTGATAATAGATAAGTAAATGTATTAACATTACCACTCAGAAAATAAAACTGGATTAAGCATTCTATATTATGTTATTCTTAGATATCTATCTTGCGTACGTAAATTGTTATACTAACATAATTAAATACGACTTTGAAGGCATTTACAAATTGATAAATAATCAAACTATACATATCCTCAAATTTTAACTAATGATGGTGATGAATACAAATATAATTTTTCTATGATACAAACAAGTACCTTCTTAGAGTAAATAGAGTTCTTAGAGTCTTCTGATGTCAGTTTAAAATAAATGCAAACATTTTCAGACGATAACAACCAGTTGACGAAAATTCAAACGCACTAACTACAATGACTTAAAAATATCAACCAGATTGAAATAATGAAATACTTAGATATTATGTATTTTAATTTATATTTATTTTAACTTTTAAGCATTTTCGTGGTTTTAACTTTTAACTGTCATATAAAAATTATAAAGTAAAAAGTGACAAGCGTTATCAATTATCATAGAGGTAGCACACGTGCACAAGATTTATAGACCTAACCTTGGAGCACAGATTTCTATATATTACTATTATATTATATTTATACTATATTATTATTAAAAAAAAATTATCTGAAGTCGATTGTTCAGCTGAAAAGGAATTATCAAAGGTATGATATTAATAAATAACAAATATTAACTACATTTACATTTAGGTACTTTATGTATTATCCAGGCTATCTAGTTAGATCGAGAATTTACCGGACTACCGTATACCATAGAATTTACTTGTACAATCTATATATATAAAAATGAATGTATGTCAGTGTGTGTGTGTGTGTCCATATTACCATGGCAACCATATATATATATATATATTATTTTGAATTTTCCGATGGAATGTTTTGTATATAAATGGTTGCCATGGTGAATGGTGATATGTAAAACATATTATTCATATAAAGTTGGCAATTTTAACGGGAAATGATGTGCACGGGATCAGATATTTTTATATATATAGATAGATTAGACATCTGTGCAGAAGATATGTTAATTTAAAAAGGGAGAGGACCAACCCCGGGATCAGGTGCTCAAACAAAGATTTTGAGATTTCCGATGGAAATTTTTGTTTATAAATGGTTGCCGTTGGTTTCAAAGCTATAATAATAATAATTATTGGTTACCATTGGTTTAAAATTGCTGTTATGGTAACAGTTATATTATAAAAAAAAACATATATTATTCATATAGAGTTGGCATTTTTAATGGGCAACGAAGTGCACGGGATCAGCTAGTAGGTAATAAAATTTTGATTATTATTGTGTATTTTTACATTACGTATTTACATCATTCAACATAAACGTATCTTAAAAGAAAAAAAGAAATATTACCTTATTTCAGATTGGGTAAACAAGTGCATCTTAATATTTTCTATTATTTTATTAATAAAATTAATAAATAAAAAATATAAAAAAAAATAATGAAAGTCAAAATAGTATGTAGGAATGTATACACCTAATATAGTAGTCCTTTAAGTTATTGATCAATGTAGGTAGTCGGGATAATATGAAAGTATCCATTTATATTTCTAATTAAAAATAATGCTGAATACTTATAGTCACTATATTGAGTTATGTATCCTTAAATAATAGACAAATAAAATTGAAATTAAGAATGTAAAATTATCTTTTTCTACAGAATGAATACTATTCAAACATGAAGTCGACACTTGGTTTGATTATTATAACCAGTATCGCATTATTACAAAATAATAATAATGAAGATCCCTTGGTAGGTGATTTGATGAAAGTTATAGTGGAAATAAATAAACTTGAACTTAAAACAAATAAAGGCCAAACATTGCTTCATTTATGTCTTAATTATGATACAAATGTTGACAATATTTTCACAACAGGAATTTGCTGGTAATATTATTTTATATAAGTAAATACTAAATAAAATAACTGAAAAAAATGAATTTGAATTTACCTATTTATTTACACTTACTCCTGTAATTCAGATTTTACTTAAATTCTTTAATCTAAAGGCCTAATTTTGTATGTGCATTAATATTTTCTATGTTGAGTTTACAGTATAAAAGCAACTTATTTGTTTGTATTTTTCATTGCAGCTTTCCAAACTTTCTTGCAATGAAATTATTAGTTCATTGCGGAGCAAACGTAGATGCAGTTGACAATGATAAAAATACAGCCCTCCATTACATTGGTAAATTCATAACAGATTTGTAAGTGTTTGTATTATTATTTTGTTAACATTTATTTTAAGATTAAAAATTGTGTTATTTATTTTACAATAATTATATTTCAAGTCCTCACATACCACACGACAGTGATTACTTAGACACAAGAAAAATGGTCATGGAGTTGTTGAATGCTGGTGCTCATACAGATTTTGTAAACAAATTGGGGGTTTGTCCTCATACAGGATATCTGTCGAGTAATTATTTTATTCTATTTAACTTTATTTTATTCTGAATATTTACTTTCTGTTTTAGAGTTATTTCATTTAACAAACAATATGCCAAGGAGTTTGAAATGTTTATCTGCCAGTGTGCTCAAGTACCGATGTCCAAAAAAATATTACCGCAATCAATTGCCAAAAACATTAGTACAATTTACTAATTTACATTAAGTGATTGATAGTTAGTAAAATATCCAGACAATAAAAATAGTACCGTAAAAGGGGGTGAGTAGGGTCATGGAGGTGAATCGGGTCAGTGTTTTGTGAAATGCCTCTCGAATATATACCTGACACAACTAAGAAACAAAGGAAGAAAAGATTAAAAGTTCAACCAGGAAAAAGCATAAAAGGCAATGATTTTAATATTTCTGAAAGTGAGGATGACCTAGGAGAAGAAAACTTTAATGAAGCTGATACACCAGTGGACATTGAAATGATAGTTAATGAGGCCAAAGAAGATCAACAAAGCTCAAGCTCAAATTTAATTAATGTGGGCCAAATGTCTAATATTATTATAAAAAATAATATCAAAGAAGGCACATGGGTCGTGGTTAAGTATGATGAAACTAAGAAATTATATTTTGTTAAAATCATACAAATATTACAAAAATGTGAACTTTATGAAGGGTCATTTAACAGATCCAGTAACTTCTCAAGTAGCTACAACGATGAAACCAAAGAACCTATATATATATTTCCAGATATCATTGACTTCTACATATTTAAGCTAGATGCTATTGTAATGATAGTTCCTTCACCAAAGAGTCTGCGCAGGGGTCGAATGCAATTTACTGTGAAACTAAGTGATATTTTAAATAGTATATAATACCTAGGTAGTAAAAAGTTACCTATGTTAAGTTTTATTGTTACCTATATGAATGTGCTTATTTAGTATTATTTAAAAATGTCATTACCTATCTAAAGTAAATTTAAAGACTGGACTGTTATATTACATATCTACCTACTTATTAATTGTTTAAGAATTGTATTAATTTGTTAAGTTTGATTAAAAACAAAAGTATTATAATGTTAAGAAAAATTCTTATTTAAGTCAGTTTTGTTTATTTTTATTGTTATATGAGGGTATTTATTTGGTATTGTTAAAAAATATCATAACCACATGTTGTTAATTCAAGGACTGAATAAATTGTTAAATTAGTATTATAAATAAAAGAAAATATTATTATGCGTAATAAATAACACGTTTAAGAAAATTCTTTAAAAAGCCAGTGTTGTTTATTTTTATTTTTTATATGAAGGTGCTTATTTTCTATTGTTAAAAAAATATTATTACCTGCCTATTGCTTAAATATTGTATTATTAATTCAAAAATGAAAGAACTGTATTCATTAATTTAAACTTCAATTGTGTTTTTTTTCATTTTTACTACTTTAAACTATTTTTCACTGATCAATACATTTTATAGGTATAACTTAACATTTTTAAAAATTTATATTTCTGACCCAATTAACCTCTGGGACAGTGTGAATAGGTTTTTAGAGCAAAATAATCATGTGACCCTATTCACCCCATAGTGGGTATGAATAGGGTCACATTTTTAAAAAAATATATAAAAAAATTTGGTTATGCGAATGTATTTTTTTATAATAAATTATATTGGGAGACATCTTACCTTTCATTAAAAAAAAAAATAATGAACCTATGTTAAAAACTCTAAGAGATATTTTCAAAAAACCTTTAAAATTGACCCTATTCACCCCCTTTTACGGTACCTTCTTTATGACATATAAAAGTAAATAATAAAGTCGTCATTTTATGCAGGTCAGCTGTAGGCAGATCAATGAATGCTTACAGTAGAATATTGAAGAGACTTCAACATAATTCATTTTTATTATGATTTATCTATCCTACATGTATATATTTTTATTTTTTATAAACTTTTTATTTCTTAATATTTTTATGAAAACAAATATGTACAATGTTGATTTCTTATGAATATTAAAAACTGCATGACATAATTTACTGATTTCCATAAAAATAAATTGTGTATAATGTATAGGTAATAGGTATGGTTATATTTTAACCTTGTAACTATATATACATATTACGTTTAATTAATAGAAACCTTGGAAAAACATTGTCAACCAAAATTCGTTAAATAGTTTAAATTTATATTCTCTAATTGTTTACATATTTGTATAAAGGGAGATTGTCCTAACATCTCCATTGACTTAATATTGCCAACAACAAGAATAAAATTTCATTCATATTTATCTACCTTATGCTTTTATTTATTTAAAGTGAATTCTTATAATATGAAAGAATTATTGATTAGTGTCTAGTGATTACTTACTTATATATCTTAATATATAATTTAAAATTTATGCATTTCAATAAATTTATTGCATTTGTCAATATGCCTATACGGGTTGATATATATGTATAAATCTATGATCATAATATATTTTAGAACTAATACAATTAAAACTAAAAAAAAAACTGTAGTTGGTATTGCTCTGCTGTACAGTAGGTTACAAGTTGGTCACTGTAATGGATGGTGTTAAATTTTAATTCAATGATATAATATCATTGTATACGAAAAACAATTCTGAGCAAAGACGGTCCGTCAGCTTATGGTATTACTAGGTATATTTGATGATATTGTTGTGAATAAAGTAATTTATATAATATAATAATATAACCTATTTACATGGAACCTAAAACCTTGTTTTTAAGTTTTTTGACCAACAATAACATTTTCATAGCAACTATTTTTTTAAAAACTAATAAAAATCGAAATTTTCTTCTGCCTATAAATAGCTTAAAAAGAGTCAAAATATTTTTAAAATGTAATTTCAGAATTTGGTGAAAATTTAATTTAACTGCGGTAGGTATGGCTATTATATAGGTACAGGGGCGATCCTAGAGTTTATTTTTAGTGGGGTTTGGAGTGAATATTGCTGACTTTCAATGATAAATCTGCCGACTGTATACTTCTTAATTTTATAATAATTACATTTTACAATAGTAATAATTATAGTTATGAAATTGCGTATTTTTTTTCTATTTATTCATTTTAATGCTGATCTAGAAAAATCTTTGATTTATATTCTACTGAATCAAAAAATTCTATTTTTGTTTATCGTATTTTAGGGGTTTTATTTGAAATGCATATAATGTGAGTATCACTCTGCTGTACATTAGGTTACAACTTACAATTGTGTTAAGTACTGTAAAATGGATGGTATTAAATTTGAATTCAATGATATAATAATTGGTAGGTATCAACTATCATTGTACCTATACGAAAAACGATTCTGAGCTGTTATGGTTTGTCAGTGTGGATATTGTATATTATATATTTTATATTGTTTATATTATTCTTATAATACGGTAGCCGGTAAGTTGAATTAATATTATAAAATTACAACAAAATAACTAAAGTCGTTATTCTTGATTATTTGATATGTGATTCCCTCCAAATATGAACATAAAATACTATTAAAAAAACTGTGTTTTTATATTTTTGAGATTTTTTGGTTACAGAATTAACTATATACTTACGTGCAACCTTGTTTTAAATTTTCAATCCTTATATAGCTATAAAAGTTGAATATTAATTTATACTTTTTAACTACAAAATCGTTTTTAAATATTAAATTTGATAAATGTTGTCAAAAATTGAAATTTAAATGCTTATAAAAAAAATTGTGCCAATGTATTTTTAATATTTTTCAACTGCTATTTAGTATTTAAGAAATATATCAGGTGCCTTGTATTACATTTTGACACTTTTTGGCCCAACAAATAAAATTTTATTACTATAAATAGAAAAATGAACTAAAAAATTTGAATTTGAAATTGTCCGTAAACTGCTCAAACAAGTCAAAATATTTTGAGAATGTTATCAAATATAGCCAAAATAAATATGATATAAATCTCAAGTGTCTATGGTTATTCATTTTTGAATTACAACAAAATAAGAAAATCGCTACTCATGAGAAATCGAGTGAATATCCAATGTTGTAAAAACTTGAACTTCAAACGCTTATAAAAATTTAATTTGACTTGCTTGTAGGCATTTTTTTTTTTTGATTAAGATAGAAATACTTAAGAAAAATCTTTTATTTCTTTTTCAAATCTTAGATTTACTAATTAAAATTTTTATGAATTTTTAACTCAAAATAATTTGCACATTTTCCTGAATTTTACATAGGTTTTTTTGTCAATATTTGAACTTTAAATACTTATGAAAAAAATTGCGGATTACGGATTTTTAATATTTTTCATCTATCTGTGAACCAATATATTAGGATCTTTGTATTAAATCAACCTTTTTTACCCAAAAAATAACATTTTATTGACATTCATAAAAAAAAAAAAAATGAAACTGAAAATATCCGTATACAGTTCAAAAAAAATCAAAATTTTTTGAAAATGTTATCGTGTAGAAATTCTAAAAACAACTAGGGAAAATGTCATGTATCTACTTTCATTTGTTTTAGGGTTAAAAACCAATATAGATTTTGTAGAAAAACGATTTTGTTTCCTTAATTTTTTGGGGGGTTTTCCCTGTGCTTTTGTAAACTATTTGGAATTTTTGACTTTTGACCCCCCAAAGTACCTACCAAATAGATTCACTTCCTTATCAGTAAAGATTATATTGTTGAAGAAAATGTAAGCATTTTTGCTGTCCTAAAAGGTGATGACAGACACAAAAAAGAAAAACACACATTGTACAATTGATAGGTACATTCATCGCTCCGATCAGAATCTATAAAAAGTTGGATTTTTTGATTTCTGAAAATTTCTGACTTGTATTTACAGTTGCCGACATTCGGGGGGTGTCAAACCTCCCCACGCCCCCCTTAAAATCGCGCCTGTATAGGTACCATTAATCTTTGCTTTGCTTCCAAATAAAACTGTATAGACAATAGATATGTATGATGTATAAAAACATGATTATAGATCAATAGTTTTATGATAAGTTCAATGAATTAGGCTTAATATTTATGTCAAATTTGTTTGTAGCAGATTTTGAACAATCAATTCATAATTAATCATAATTATGCTGTCTATATGAAACGTTTCCTTTAAATGTTTCCTTTACATGATATGTAAAGTACCTAATTGGTTGTAGATTAAATTCATCGCAATCATGGTATCTCAAAATACAAAATTAGGGACTTGTTATTGATTAAAAATCTAAAACAGAAATTTTTTACATACCTAACTACAAGTCTTACAAATAGCGCCGCACTGATGTTTAGAAAAAAATAATTTTTTTAATGTGCTTTTGTCATGAAGGGAAGCGCACAAACATTTACCCGAGGTTTCGTAAATTTGCGCTTAAACCACCTGTGATCTGTATCACTCCAAAGTATATTTGTATATTTCTTTAATCTCTACCGCAGTCTTATGTTATATACTAGTTTTATGTTTTTATTATTTGTTTTATCTACATAAATATATGTATAATTATTTCAACGTACCTACTCGATGTATAGGATGACTATGCAGCGTTGCGTAAGTTTCCACACCACCTATATGCTTGTTAAACGACATTATATCACATAATCGTCCGTGTTGTTTAAAATCATGCTTTTAAAATGTTTTTTATGCTTTTAAAAAATGTAAAAACTTTTAAAACAACGAGGTACCTATTACCTACATGTTGCGTGTTTTTTTTTTTATTGTGATGTCCTTTGTAGGACTAATCCACATCGCAAGCGAGAACCCCCTCGAACGCCGGTCGACCACAATAATAATACTGTACCTAATTTACGTAGATCGGAAATTCTCTCTCGTATAACATTTTTCGTTGTTTCTACCAAGGGCGTGCTCAGAAAATGTATGTGGGGGGGG